AAACTCTGAAATGCATTCTCCTGTGTCTTTTACTCTGGTTGTAGTAATTTCTTGCCTAGATTTCCACAGTAGTTCTCTACCATTCTCTCCTATATTTTCTGCAGTAAAGCCAGAGTTTGTTATCCCTGTAACAGTTTCCCATTTCGTCTGGTTGAAGTTCAGATTCCTTAGCAAAGCCGATCAGGTCGTCTTGCCTACACACAGGCCACTTGCAAGCCTGCGAATGCATGATGCCCTCCTCAAGCTTGGACCACTGCATGTTTGATTCCTGCCAGCCAGACTCCTCACCTCACCTACTTTTTTCTTTGGTTTTGGCCTAAACATTGTCCTTCTAGAAAGCTTTACCTGGCCTTGCATTAGTCTACTGAGGCTGGGGGCAGGAGAGACTTTTCACCCAGAGGCTCATCCTCATATGGCCACAATAGCCAGGAGCCTGGAACACCATGGGGATCTCCCACATGGGTGGCAGGAACTCATGTACTTGGCAGCCATCTTCCATTGCCTTCCCAAGTGCAGTAACAGGGAACTGGATCAGAAAGCAGAGTAGGTGGGGCTCACACAGGCCCTCTAACATGGGATAGTGGTCTCACAGGCAAAGGTTTATCTGCTGTGACCAATACCAGATTCCATTTATATGTTTTTCATGATTTACATTAACATTTGAGAGTCAGGGTCTGGTGCAGTATAGTGGCTAAAAGTCCTCACCTTGAATATACTGGGATCCCATATGGCCACCGGTTCTAATCCCAGCTGCCCTGCTTCCCATGCAGCTCCCTGCTTGTGGCTTGGGAAAGTAGCTGAGGACGGCCCAAAGCCTTGGGACCCTGAACCCACGTGGGAGACCTGGAGGAAGTTCCTGGCTCCTGGCTTTGGATTGGCACAGCACCAGTCGTTGTGGTCACTTGGGGAGTCAATCATCGATGGAAGATTTTCCTCTCTGTATATCTGACTTTGTAATAAAAATAAATATTTAAAAAAATCTGAAAGCTAGCCAAGGAGAAATAGTGTGGCTTCCCACCTGCTGGTGCTCAAATTCCTGCAATAGTTAAGGCTGTGCCAGGTTGAAGTGAAGAAGTGAGAATTCAATCTGGGTCTCCCATGTCAGTGCCAGGCCCAACCACTTCACCTACTGCCTCCCATGGCATGATGGGTCTGAAGTCAGAATCCACAGCAAAGCTGACTTGACTCCAGGCCCTCTGAAGCAGGATGTGGGCTCTTCAGGTAGCAGCATAACTGCTAGGTTAAAAGCCTGTCTCATTTCAACTCGTTTGCACCCAAATGAAAGTCTTTTTAATTCTATTTTTCAAAGTTTTTGAAGTCTTTGTAATACTGTAGTGTATCTTGGGTTCTCCACACTTCCTTGTTAAAAACGTTTGTGGAATGTGCAGTTATGAAAAAAAAGTACTGATTTTGTTTTTTAAAGTCATTTATATGAAAAGCAAAGTTAGAGAGGGAGAGACAAGGATCTTCCATTTGCTGGCTCACTCCCCAATGGCCACCACAGCCGGAGCTGGGCTGGCTCAAAGCCAGGAGCCAGGAGTTTCCTTTAGTTCTCCCACGTGGGTGCAGGGGCCCATGTACTTGGGTCACCCTCTGCTGCTTTCCCAGGTACATTAGCAGCAGGGACTGGGGCCCATATGGAATGTTTTTGTAATAAGTGATGATGGCTTTCTACTGGTCCTCTTAATCATTTTTTAAGATTCTTTATTTGAAAGACAGATTTAGAGAGGAGATAGAGATCTTCTAAGTACTGGGCTCATTCACTCCTCAAATGACCAGGCTGAATACAGGAGCCAGAAACATCTTCCGGGTTGCCCATGTGGGTGGCAGGAAACTAGAGACTTGGTCATCTGCTGTTGCTTTTCTAGGCACATTAGCAAAGATTGGAAGAGCAGCCAGGACTTGAACTGGTGCCCCCATGGGTTACCAGTGCTGCATGCCATGGCTTAACACACTGAGATGCAGCAGCAACCCCTCAATTTTTTTTGGCAACAAAATTAACTTATGTAATTACCTTGTTCCACAAGATTTTTCAAGTCCCTTCATCCTTGCCTTATCTCACTGCATCACTGACAATATCGTCACAAGGAGACACATGTACTTTGTAAACTGCCCAGTGTTTTATGCATAGAAGACACTGTTGCCTTGGGCTCATTTACGATGGTAGGCTGGCTGCCTGGCTGGGCAGCTCTGGTTCTTACTGCCACCTGCACTTGGGCCCCTGGCCTTGCTCACTCAGGTATCCTGACAATAGCTCTGCCTAACCATCCAGTGATGTTTTGTTCATACTGAATCTGAAGCACCTACTCCATGGCTTATTCCTGTGCTGCGAAGCTGTGCCTTCCTCATGCTCCATGGCCCTTCGCACCCAGCCCTGGCAGGAAGGGAGCACAGAAGACAGGTCTGTTTCTGTCTGGAGAGTTCACTCATTTCACCATTAGAAAAGGTTTTGGGTTATTTCTTTGTACAGGCACTGGGTTTGGTTCAAATGGGTTTAAGTGGTGCTTCTCGAAGAATCTCAGCTGTAGGGACAGGCTCCTGGTAGAGGTGGCTTGTGATGTTTGCATCTCACACTACAGTGCCAGGTTCAAGTCCTGATGTCTCCCTACTTCTGCATTCCTAATGAGCAAACTGGCAGGCAGCAGGTGATTGGCTCAGGCACACGCGTCCCTGCCATCTACACTGGAGACTCTACTGAGTTCCCAGCTTCGCAATTTCACTCGGCACAACTCTGGCTGTGTGGGGATTTAGAGAGCTGGGGAGCAGATGGGAAATTTGTTTCTCAAATGAATAAAACAAATCTGTTTCAGAATTTTTTATACTCAAGTCCAAAGTCACATGTGGCCACTGACACAGCCATGGAGCCTGGACAAGTAACACTCTGAACTTCGAGTTCCTCTTTTATTTTAGAAGGTATCACATATCTTGTAGCCTTACTGAAAGGATTATAATGAATGCCAGGGGGTGACATGCGCATAGTAAGTGCGTAAGAGATGACAGATGAGCAGCAGGGTCATTTTCGTGCCCAGGGCCTGGTGAGAGTTGTGGATGATGCAACGCAGTGAGCAGCTGGACAGCAGAGACCAAGCTGCCATCTTCAAAAACAAGCAAAGCTCTTGTTCTTGACAGGAGGTGCACTGCAGCCCAATTACTAACGCAAAGGCTCAAGTTTGAAAGCACTTCCATCTCATTTTAACATATTTTAATTTCTAAGGTCGTATAAAAAAATGTCTTACTAAAGAAAAAAATTATGTAATAAATTCAAACACCAAAGAGTAAAGATGAGGCAATTCAGTGTCTCTGCTGCAGTTACATAAATTGCTTTTGTCACTAGCAACCCTATATATTCATTTAGACTTGTTTTATTATCTTATTGGAAAGGCAGATATACAGACAGAAAACTCTTCTACCCTCTGATTCACTCTTCAAGTTGCTGCAACAGCTGGGGCTGAGCCAACCCTGAGCCAGGAGCCAGGAGCTTCCTTTGGGTCTCCCACATGGGTGCAGGGTCCCAAGGCTTTAGGCCATCCTCCACTGCTTTCCCAGGCCACAGGCAGGGAGCTGGATGAGAAGTGGAGCAGCCGAGACACAAACCGGTGCCCATAAGGGATCCCAGTGCATGCAAGATGAGGATTTTAGTCACTAGGCTATGGTGTTGGGTCCCTACATATTTTTAAAGATTTATTTGAAAGGCATAGAGAGATGGACACAGAGTTACCTTTTATCTGCTGACTCGCTCCCCAGATGGCCATAGTGGTGGGAGCCGGGTCAGAACAAAGCCATCTGGTTGTCCTTTGTGCGTAGAAGGGGTCAAAGAACCTGGGCCATCTTCAGCTGTTTTCCCAGGTGCATTAGCAGGGAGCTGGTTGGGAAGAAAAGTCAGGACTCATACAGGCAGTCAGATATGGGATTCAAGCAGGCATTGCAAGCCTTGGTAATCTACTGAGCTGGTCCCTGAAAATCCAGTTTAGAGGTTTATTGTAGTTTAATTTTCCCCTGTAATTGTCAAAATGTTTTCTGCTAAAAAAGAAATCCAGCTGCTTTCAATACTTTGTTCTGATTGAGAAGTATTAATATGGAAAAGTTGAGTTTGTGGGCTCATACTTCTTGTCCTGATTTGCTCTATAGATAACAAATATCAGGCATGATTACCAAGCAACTGCAATCTATTTAAGTTCCAAGACTTTTTACTGCCTGAGCTATGTGACCTTGGGCAGGTCTGTAACTTCCTTGAGCTCAGCCTCCTTACTGAAGCAACAAGGTCACCACCTCCCTGTCAGGTAGTACGTGGTAAACATTATGCACTCCTGAGATTAAGGCCAACTGCCACTGGGATTATATTTATAATTAGGAAACTCTAAGCAGATCGGACCTAAGTTATAAAAGAAAGAGAAAGGCAAATGTCATCCAAAGCAACATCTACATATGGTTTAATGAATAATCCTCATCAGCTTTTATTTTTTTTGAAAGATATACAAGTATTTATATATATATGAGAGAGTGTGAAGTGAGAGCGAAAGCTCTGCTTACTGGTTCCCTCCGCAGACGGCTGCAACAGCCAAGGCTGGGTCAGGCCAAAGCCAGGTTCCCTGTGAGGAAGGACGGGACCCAACTTCCTGAGTATCCCGGGTGCCCGTTAGCAGGAAACTGGGATGTGGAGTGGAAAGAAGACTTGAACCCAGGTACTTCAATGTGGGCATCCCAAGTCGTGTCTTAACTGCTATGGCCAATGTTTGAATTGTACAGTGTGGACCCTGGTGTCCCACAGGGGAGAACGAAGGACACCTCTGAATTCTCCAGGCTCCCTCAGTCACAGCGTGAAAATCTGCCCAGATATCGGGAGGATCACACACTCCTGTACTGACAGATCACCTCTGAAGCAAAGCAAATCCACCACTTCTTTAGTAGACATGATTTTAAAATTTCCTTCTTGTAGAAAGTAATTTGACCTCTTTTCCCTGTTCCAAATCCCTAAGACTTTGAAAGGATAAAGACACCAATTTGGAGCTCTTTCAAAAAGATTTATTTGCTAAAGAATTGCCTGCCTCTACCAATGAGATACACTCTATTTCTGTGTCTAAAGGGATTTGTTCTCTGGTTTATTTCTGTAAGTGCTACAATGTTCAAAAAGCAATTCCTCTAGCCAGCAATTGGCATGTGTAGAAGAGGTTAGAAAAAGTCAGATTCTATAGGATTAGATGTCTAAAACTAGGAGGAAAAAAAGAACACTTAAAAAATCTTAGTTGGACATGTCCTGAGCTGAAATCACATTCATCTAGGCCAGACTGTTTTAGGTCAGAGATAGCGTGAACCCACAGCTCCTGACCATGGACTTGACTGGTGAAGACTTCCAGGCACTGTACAATGACAGCAAACAAGCCACTCAGTTGGTCATTTCTGGCATGTGTCCTACTTGGCTTGTCAAAAATTTTCTTAAACCCAAAACTTCTGCTTTTCTGAAGCTATCTTACTCTCTCAATACCTTGTAAAATAAACAGACGTTTCCCCTGCAAGACCACACATTTCAGTATTTGTTGTCCATGGACAGACAGAGGGAAACCAAGTGTGGATGGCAGTCAATGGACCAGCGACGTAGCTGCAAGTGTCTAGTGTGGCTGTGGCGGCCAGAACAAGATTTCTGCTGGCTCTGGCTCCGCTGTGCATCAGCTACGTTAACCTGTGGATGGTGTGAACCCCAGCAGCTGCTCGATGGGTTTGAAGCGCCACTCGTCAGCCTCCAGCTCTTCTACCAAACCAGCGAGTTTTTCCATGCGAGCCACCTGCTGATCTGTGAAGAGGCAAGGAGGTTATGTGACACACTGCCAGTGTCCTTCTGACAAGGCTGGCACCAGCCACCAACACAGTGACTGCCTCAGAAGTGATTTCTAGTTGGAATTTTCCCTCAGATGGGATCTTATCCTAGGCTGGGCAGATGACTTAATCCAACCAACCCACAATAACATTTCCAATCATTTTCATTCACCTTCTCTTTTTAACCACAACAAAGACCAAAATAAGCATCTATTTGATCGCTCTGAACATTCTCAAGTGTAGCCAGCATTTATCTCTTCTCCTGTGGGTGTTAGGTCATCAAGGCTCCTGAGCTCCCCAGACCCCCACTCCAAGCATACCCTAGCAGCCTCAGGGACCTCTGGTCTCCATCTCAGTGATTCTGTTTGGCCTGAGAAGTCTCATGTTAAAAACCATTGTAAAATGAAGGGATGCCATCTTCCTTCTGCAGGCCCCAGGGCTGTGTAGAATACGACCTGAGGGGCAGAGGCTGCTGCAGCTCTTCCCCAACAGGGCGAGTAGTGACCATCGGCTGGGGGACCACAGTTCGCTGAGGTGCACGTGAAGGCACTGCCAGGATATTGGCATCTGCACAGACCCTGGGGCCTAAAGGACACCTGGAGGTAAGGAAGGCCGCCTTGAGAGGACCCTTGGAGAGTACCTCTGCACAGCAAGTCTCAGGTAAGACCTGTCTACTTACCAGGGCTTTGCTGGAGTGAGGGGGTGTGGGGGGAGGGTTCTGTCACAGGATGCCAACCTTTAGGAGTGCCCCTACTTCAGTCAATGTGTTCCCCAAGGCAGGAACACAATACCCACACACTCACCATGTTTCACCTGCTTAAGTGTGGATGCCACCTGATAGCTGAACACGGATTCACACAGAAATCTCTCAGAGCTATCTGCAAACAAAAGAGAAAAAGGGCTCACTTTGCTGTTACGATATTATGGCTTCTGATAAACCAAGAACCTGACTGCTCTGTGCCCTACTTTGTCATCCATGGTCTGGCTGTCAGTGCCAACAAAGAGGGGATCTGTTTCATTTAAAACTAACACTGCGCTATTAGAATAGCTACTGCTTCCATACCTGGAATATTGAAACAGTGCCTTTACTTGTCTAAGAGTTTTAAAATAGTGTTTAAAAAAACACAAACAAGTAACCTCAATTTGATGTCCTAGTCAACATCTTCCCCTCCTAAACTGACTGTTCCTTAACATTCTCCTATTCTGGATGTCAAGCAAACACAGGCAGCTGAGAACCTTGGTCACGTGGCCTCGTGCTATCAAAACACAAATACGGCTGGGAGAGTTCATTCTGTAAACGCAAATTGTAACCTTGATTTTTCCAACGGAACCAAAACACTGCAATTTGTATGATGATGAGTGTGGTGCAAGCTCAGAACGTAGCACTGTGCTGCTGCCAGGAACTGCCAACAAGGCCGCTGCCTTGGCAACCAGGGCATTTGGAAACTTAAGCTAGTTCATGTTATTTCTTGTCAGGCAAAGGCTGGTACAGTGGAGTATAGCCCCAAAGAGACATAGCTAATGTGGGCAAGTCAGACTTTTAAAAGGGCTACAGAAACTATTTGGGGTATGGCTCTTGCCAGAAAAATTCTGCAAAAATGGAGAGTTCCTTTTTAAATAGGTCAGAGTTCATGCCAGCACGAAGAGGTGTCAGGCACCCAGCCATCAATCATAGGTGGGTGAGCTAGGTGTCCTGTGAGAAGACAGCATGAACACATGTAGGCCTGATGCTGAGTTTCACACAGGGTAAACCTTAGTTCAGAAATCAAGGTAATCAGTAAGAAAAACCTCAGATATTACATCTACATGGCTTAAATCCACAACCAAGAAGCCTTTCTTCTGATATTATCTCCAAAATGATGCAAAGAGAAAAGAAAAAAGAGGAAAGAAATGAAACGATAAAATAATTCTTGGGATATGCATTCTTCAGGCTGTGTTACATTCTGTAATTCAAGCCTTTTTTTTTTTTGTTTTTTTAAATATTTATTTCATTGGAAAGGTAGATTTACGGAGGGAAGAAGAGACAGAGAGAAAGATCTTCTGTCTGCTGGTTCACTCCCCAAGTGGCAGCAATAGTTGAAACTGAGACAATCTGAAGCCAGAAGCCAAGCACTTCTTCTGGGGCTCCACATGGATGTAGGGTTCTAAGGTTTTGGGATATATTCCTCTGCTCTCTCAGGCCACAAATAGGGAGCTGGAAGGAAAGTGGAGCAGCCAGGACACAAACTGGAGCCAATATGGAATCCCAGCGTTTGCAAGGTGAAGATTCAGCCACTGAGCTATCTTGCTAGACCCATAACTCTTTTCTACATGATGTAGAACACATGGGATTTGCGTCTAGCCCTCTTGGTACCCTCTTTGCTCTGGGTGGATCCAAGTCACTGTTTTTTTTTTTTTTTTTAACATTTTATTTATTTTTATTGGAAAGGCAGATATACAGAGGAGGAGAGACAGAGAGGAAGATCTTCCGTCTGATGGTTCACTCTCCAAGTGGCCGCAATGGCTGGAGCTGCGCCAATCCAAAGCCAGGAGCCAGGAGCTCTTCCAGGTCTCCCACGCAGGTGCAGGGTCCCAAAGCTTTGGGCCGTCCTCAACTGCTTTCCCAGGGCACAAGCAGGGAGCTGGATGGGAAGCGTGGCTGCCGGGACTAGAACCGGCACCCCTATGGGATCCCAGCACATGCAAGGCAAGGACCTTAACCACTCACTACACTGCTGCGCCAGGCCTGGATCTAAGTCATTGTGAACAGACATCTAAAGTGACTAAAAAGTTCATTTTCAATTAATTAAATGTTGCACTGACTGGTTTAAACATCTAGGTAAGCCAATGACATCACTCTTTCTTTTTTTTTTTTTTAAAGAAAGCAGCAACAGTCAGTTTAACTGAATTCTATGGCAGGTGGGAATTGTAAACATTTGGTATCAATGATATAATTTGTTATTGTCCTCTGTAAATGATATGCCAGAGTTCGTTATCCTATCTTTGTTTAAAAGCCTAATTATATTCATTTTCATTTTAGAAAAAAAGGCATGGGGGCAGCTGACCTTATCCCTGGTTCCAAGTGGTCTGAACTTGAAGAAAAAAATTTGTTTTAGATTTGAAAGAGAGGGAAGGGGAGGGAGAGAGAGAGAGAGGGAGAGAGAGAAAAAGATATAGATCATGAAAAAAAATTTTTTTAAATTTATTTTTATTGGAAAGGCAGATGTACAGAGAAGAGGAGAGACAGAGAGGAAGATCCTCCATCCGATGATTAACTCCCCAAGTGATCTCAACAGCCGGTGCTGCACCACTCCGAAGCCCAGAGCCAGGAACTTCCTCCGGTTCTCCCACACAGGTGCAGGGCCTCAGTGTTTTGGGTTGTCCTCGACTGCATTCCCAGGGCACAAGCAGGGAACTGGACAGGAAGTGCAGCTGCTGGGACTAGAACTGGCGCCCATTTGGGATCCCAGTGAGTTCAAGGCAAGGATCTTAACCACTATACCATCGTGCCGGGCCCTAGATATTGAAATTGATTGATTCCATCTTCTGGTTTCCTGTTGAAATAACTGTTATAGCTAGGACTGGACTGGGCTAAAGCTAGGCAGGTCTCCCGTATCTGCTGGTTCTCAGGCCATCAGTAAGGTGGATGCAAAGCAGAAAGGCTGGGACTCAAAACTTGTGATGCAGGTATACCATGTACCAGAGCCTGCTATGCAACAACACTCGTGGCCACCTTGAACCTTAAGGAAATCAACAATGAGAATTGGGCCCTGCAGGCACAGTGGCCTAGCAGCTAAAGTCCTTGCCTTGAACGCCCTGGGATCCCATATGGACGCCGGTTCTAATCCCGGCAGCTCCACTTCTCATCCAGCTCCCTGCTTGTGGCCTGGGAAAGCAGTAGAGGATGGCCCAAAGCTTTGGGACCCTGCACCCGTGTGGGATACCCGAAGAAGTTCCTGGATCCTGGCTCTGGGTTGGCATAGCATCGGCCATTGCACTCACTTGGGGAGTGAATCATTGGACGGAAGATCTTCCTCTCTGTCTCTCTTCCTCTCTGTATATCTGACTTTCCAATAAATAAATAAATCTTAAAAACAACAACAAAAACAACAAAAAAAACCAATGAGAATTAAGGGTTGTGTTGATCATGTTAAATCAACATGCAAGCCATTGGAAGTGCCCCCTCTTATTTACATTCATTAATTAAATTTTTAAAATTTATTTGAGAGGCAGACACAGAGGGCTCAGTAGCTGGTTCACTTCCCAAATGTCCACTGTGGTCAGGGTTAGACCATGGCCAAAGCTAGGAGCTGAGAATTCAAGCTCCATCTCCTACATGGGTGGCACAAACTCACTTGAATCTGAGTGAGAATCATCACTGCTTCTCAGGGTCTGCATTTAGAAGGAAGCTGCAGCCAGGAGCTGGTGCAGGACCACAATACTCTGACATGGGTCACAGGCACGTTAGCCTCTAAGCTAATGCCTGTTTCCTGCCCACTTATATTTAATCACAGGTGCTATGAAAATAAGAACTTGCTCACCTGCAAAAATAAACCTGCATATTTTTAAGCCACACAGTGCCTAAGGAACACACTTTTACTGATTTGCAGCTCCATATTAGCCACATCCTATTAGATGTGATGTCTGTAGAAATCTAAGCCTGAAATCTCTCCAGAAAGGGGTCAGTCTGGGGCAATGTGTCTTCCGTTTAGAATGTAATTAAACTCTGTGTAACACACCATGTAGCATCAGCTTTCTCCTACAGGTCAAGCAAAGGTTATAAAGAGTGAAAAGTTCGGGGCTAAAGTCCTCACGATGAACATACCGGGATTCCATATGGGCGCTGATTCTTTTTCTTTTTTTTTAAAGATTTATTTATTTATTGGAAAGGCAGATATACAGAGAGGAGGAGAGACAGAGAGGAAGATCTTCTGTCCAATGTGCCCAAGTGAGCACAATGGCTGGTGCTGCGCCGATCCGAAGCAAGGACCCCGGAGCTTCTTCTGGGTCTCCCACCCGGGTGCAGGGTCCCTCCAAGACTTCGGGCCATCCTCGACTGCTTTCCCAGACCACAGGCAGGGAGCTGCAAGGGAAGTGGAGCTGCCGGGATTAGAACCGGCGCCCATATGGGATCCAGGGTGCATTCAAGGGGAGGACTTTAGCTGCTAGGCCACGCCGCCGGGCTCTGTTTTTTATTTTCTAAAAAATTTTATTGGGAAGGCAGATTTACAAAGAGAAGACAGACGCTGCTGCCTCCCAGGGTGGGCGTGAGCGGGAATGCTGTGCACATGAGTAGAGCCAGAAGTCCAGGACAGGACACAGGCATGGGCACAACCAGCGAGGTCACATGCCTGTTGCCAATGTCATATTCTGGATCTGACTGGGAGAGGATAGTGGTTGCTATCTCTCTGTTATTTTCCATACTTTTTCATAGTCTGTCTTTAAGTATAGTTTGAAGATTACTAGTGAAAAGTGGAAAGAATTATAACCATGCACTGTGAATTTAAATTTAATACATTTCATTCTGTAATGGACATTCAGCTATTCCTGCATGAAATACATTATGGTGGCTTAAAAGGGATTGGTCTATAACCTGTTAGAAAATAAAAATTAATATTCAGCCCAATCTCATAAGACTTTCTTTTCTGGTGTCTTTTCTGGTGTCTTTGCCTGCCTCCTGTAGCTGGGATCTGAGCAACTCTCGGAGCATCAGTGTTGGCACTGGTGGCCCTGCTGCAGCTCTAACATTCATTAAGCGATTTAACTGTCTCTAATTTTTGATTCATTTTGTGGGAAGCTTCCTTAATAACCTGTATCGCCTGCATATACTGGAGTCATAATGTATCTTTGGTGTCAATTATGGTAAATAACGCTCCAGACAGTGAAAGCAGTGAGTGTTCAGAGGACAGAGCAGGACAGGAAAAGGCCACGGGTGCAGACTGTCCACGCAGCTCAGGGCCGGAGCCCACGCATGTTCTTCCTGCGCTTGTTTTCCCTCACCACAGCCTGACCCCAATGTGGACACACGACGGCCCCACGGCACTTCTGCATTTTCCTGCTTTTTCTGTTTCCTTTGGCTTACCCCAAAGACATTTTTTTTAAAAAGTTGTGATTAATGTAAGTGAAAAAGACCACTCCAAAAACAGATTCTTCCATTACATTTTTTTCAGGGACATTTTCACATGAATTTTGAACCATATTTATATGAATATTTAAGGCAAAAGGGTCAATGTGCAATTAAGTACCAAAATCAAGCAGATTCTGAATTAATAGTTTATATGCATTTTTTTCTCTTTTTCAAAATATGATGAGGCTGGCACTGTGGTGTAGTGAGTGAAGCAGCTGCCTGTGATGCCAGTACCTCGTGCACACTGACTTGAGTCCAGGCTGCTCTACATCTGATGCAGCTCCATGGAAATGAGCCTGGGAAAGCACTGAAAGACGACCCGCGTGCTCGGGCTCCTGCCACCCAGACGGAGCTCTAGGCGCCTGGCCTCCACCTGCACCAGCCCCAGTGGCTATGGCCATTTGGGAAGTGAAGAACCAGCAGACACAAGATGTGTGCGTCTCTCCCTCTGTATAACGCCGTCTTCCAAATAAATCTTACTTAAAAAAAAAAAGAGGAGACTCTCCTTGTGAAAAGGTCCTGATTGTTGGTCAAAAAGGAAGATCCTGGGCCCGGTGGCGTGGCCTAGCAGCTAAAGTCCTCGCCCTGAACGCACCATGGATCCCATATGGGCACCGGTTCTAATCCCGGCAGCTCCACTTCTCATCCAGCTCCCTGCTTGTGGCCTGGGAAAGCAGTTGAGGACAGCCCAAAGCCTTGGGACCCTGCACCGTGTGGGAGACCCAGAAGAGGGTCCTGGTTCCCGGCTTCAGATCGGCATAGCATCGGCCGTTGCGTTCACTTGGGGAGTGAATCATCGGACAGAAGATCTTCCTCTCTGTCTCTCCTCCTCTCTGTATATCTGACTTTGTAATAAAATAAATAAATCTTAAAAAAAAGGAAGATTCCTGTGTTATACTAAAAATCTCTACACAAGGCCCAGAAATATTTTATTATTTTTTATTTGAGGCAGAGAAATAGAGAAAGCACTCCCATTTATGGACTCTCTAAAATGACTACAACGGAAAGTGCTGGAAAGGGGCCAAAGCCAGGAGCTAGAAACGCAATCCGGTTCTCCCCCTTGAAGGCAGTGATCCAGGGACCTGAGTATCATCTGCTGTACTCCAGCAGGAAGGTGGAACTGGAAATGGAGCTGCAACTCAAACCCACATACTCTGAAGTGGGATGCAGGTATCATCATCAACCTCTGGGCCAAGCACCTGTCTATAAACATACATTTTAAAACAGCTCTCCAAGTGGTTTTTACATTCCCCTCTGGGTCCAGCCACTCATGTTCACGAACTTCAGCCACCAACACAGCTTCATGGTTGGAGCCTATGCCTGATCTTGGGCAGCCAGTCTGCCACTGTGCGCTGACCAGGACTGTGGCTGACGCAGGTGCTGGGACGACCATACAGCCATGGCTGCAGTGGGGCCCAAGAGCACAACAGTACTGTGAGAGTGGCTGTCATTTCCTCTTATAACCTCTCTGACGTGTGCTCTGTCTGTAGATGATACTAGGAAAAAGACACCACACAGCTACCACCGTGATACAGGTGAGCGCCAAGGGAAGCGGAACTGGAGAAGGAAGCAGAAAGAATCGCTGGTTCTAGTGCTGACTTCCTGTCAAATGGTCAGATCACTTTTCTGAGTAACAATGGATGACCTCCTTGATGTCCAAAGTCTTTTCTCTGCTCATAATTTCTGTTTGTGGAACAAGAAATGTTTTTAAAGATACTATTTTGAGATGGGGACAAGCGACAAAAGGTGGAGCTGAAACCAGGGCAAACTCATCTGGAATCTGCTTCACAGCTTCTTTACAATTAATATTCATTGCGGGTTGAAAACAAATTATTCAGCTAAATAAATAAATAAATGAATAAGGCATTGAGTCACCTTCCAACATCTCGCCAGCTCCTTTAGGGTAAGTGAAGAGGGCTTTTCGTGGTGGGGCGAGGTCTGAGACGTTGAAACCAGATCCAGCGACAGAACTGCTGCTGACCCCGCCAGCCGCCGCCGCCGCAGACGAGGTGGCCATGTCCTCTTGGGGAGCAGTCTCACTTCACTACCATGCAAAACAGCAACTTGCAAGTTTTTATGGACCTGAGATTGACAACGTTTCACTCTAGCACCCTAAGGGGAAACACAGTTAGGAAAGAATTAATTGTCCTTTTTCCTATCTTCTTGATATCCTCAATATTTTAATATACCTCAGGCCAAAATATCATTTAGGTTTTGAAGTGGAAATACGTTTAAGAAAAGTCTGTTTCCTGAAGACACTGCTTCCTAGGATCAGCAAACTCTGTGTCAGCTGGGTTGACGGCAGGTGATGGATGAATCATGAGGGGGAGTTGGGCAGGGCCAACCCCATCTGAGAACCTTAAGCCACTGTGCTGCACAGGACAGTTGGTCCTAGATACATTCCAACTAAGCCACACCAAGGAGTTCCCTTACAAAATTTTCCAAATAAAATTTTCCAGCATAACACTGTGTTCTGTTTCAAAGAAAGGGAAAATCGGTTAGGAAATACATCTTGGCCCTTGCATTAAACATTAAAAACAAAACAAAACAAAACAAAAAAAACCCTTCCCACCCAAATGTAATACCAAAGCCTATCACTTGGTGGCATCCCAAAACTGGAAACAAAAGGAAAATAATCTTGGAAATCATGACCGACCAGGAATACAGCAGCTGCCTGTGTTTAGCCTCTGTCAAATTTAAAAAAAAAAAAAAAAAAATCCAAACGCAAATGAGAAAAAGCTGTACTGTATTCAGGTCTTCTCACAAAAGTGCAAAACAAGAACACTTGTTGGCCAGGTTAAAGGTTGTCTCACCCGAAGGAAAGAGCAAGAAAAATGGCTTAGCACTATGCTGTCACATGGAACCTTCTACTGTGATGTAAAATGCTCTCATGTTCTATTTCTGAACAGTCCAAGAAGGCAGTCACTGGCCTCAGTTCCTGGCTATAAAACAGGATGACTGAAGAGCTGGATTTTAACTAGTATTTAATGTTAATATTTAAACAGTCACACGTGGCTAATGGTTTCTGCACGGATATTGCAATTGTTGAACTTAAACTATAAAATGAGTTAACATTTAAATTGTACACATTTAAAAATGGTCAATTTTGTGTTATGTGATTTTTGCTCCACTTAAAAGACTTTAAAAGATTTTTAAAATATACTTCACATCTGTAATAAAGAGAAAATTTTAGTTGATTACTTTTGATTATGCTTTCTTGCCAGTTGTAAAATTCACATACTTGTGGCCCTGGTGTGGTAACCTAGTGGCTAAAGTCCTTGCCTCGCATGTGCCGGGATATGGGCACCGGTTTATATCCCGGAGCTCCACTTTCCTTCCAGCTCCCTGCTTGTGGCCTGGGAAAGCAGTAGATCCCAGTCCAGGACACTGGGACCCTGCACCCGCACGGGAGACGCAGAAGAAGCTCCTGGCTCCTGGCTTTGGATCAGCTCAGCTCTGGCCCTTGCAGCTACTTGGGGAGTGAATCAATGGATGGAAAATCTTTCTATAAATCTGACTTTCTAATAATAAATAAATAAATCAAAAAAATTGTAATAAATTTAAACTTTTTATAAAAATGGAAAAATAAGGAAATACTATGTTGATATAAGTAATTTTACATGTATATATTTATGTAGTTTCCTAGTCTGAAACACTGGCTGTTGCCTTTCCCTGATTTTACAGTGGTATGTGAAGCTGTCAGAAAAAGAAAGCTTTGTTTTTGATTTCATGGTTTGTCCATAAGTGACACTGATCAGGACTGGAGTGAGATATGGGAACAATAAGGCAGCACTGTGATTAGCCTATTAAAAATGCAAACTGACATTTTCAATCTCACTACTAGATCTACTTTCCTTTTTTCTCCGACCTCTGATAACTTTTAAAATTGTATTCATACCTACAAGGCAGTAACTTTTCTATTTAGATACAAATCCATTTCTTTGGGCCACCCTTGGTCAAAATGTAGCTGGAAAGGTTTTTTGGTTTGTTTTCTTGTTTTGTTTTTAAGATTTATTTATTGCATTGCAAAGTCAGATATATACAGAGAGGAAGATCTTTCATCTGATGATTCCCTCCCCAAGTGACTTCAACGGCCAGAGCTGAGCTAATCTGAAGCCAGGAGCTCCCACGCAGGTGCAGGATCCCAAAGCTTTGGGCCGTTTCTGCTTTCCCAGGCCACAAGCAGGGAGCTGGATGGGAAGCGGGGCTGTCTGGACTAGAACCAGCACCCATATGGGATCCTGGCATGTTCAAGGCGAGGACTTCAGCTGCTAGGCCACGCTGCCGGGCCCTGGAGAGATTTTTAAATGCTCTTTAAAGAGAACTGAAACAGAATTGGACAAGGTTAAATTTGGAGCCACTTTTTGGAGAGTAGCTTCATCTTTATTTCCTATCATTAGAGACCCCACTTTATTTCGCTTAGGAATTAGAACTCTAAATCTTTTTCTTACACATTGTGAAGCACGCTACTCAGCTGCAAAGATTTTATATTTGGAGTTGCTCATTAAAGCACCCAAGCAACTGCTGAAGAGCTTCAAAAGGGAACCATGGGATCCTCAGCTCAATCTAATCAAAGGAATTCCTGCTCATCCTATGTCCTTGGAAATTCTCAGAACCCCTCTCAACTCCCATCGGCCAGGTGTAAAGAATGAGAGCACAGAATCTGTCCAAGTCTACCTTTAAATGAGCAGTTTTCTGCTGAGGTGGAAAGAGACACCTAAATAACTTCTAGATCTAAAGATCTGAATTTTAAATGTTACCAGCAAGTTGCAAGACAGAGTTCAAAGTGAAATCAACATTAAAGCCTAGATTCTGGGGGCAGGCATCTGAACCAAAAATAATACCTGGCTTGATAGTCAGTAGCTGCTAATTTTAAGGAATGCTGACTGACTGAAACCATAGATTTCTTGGAGGTCATTTAACCTAACGTGTTCATTTTATAGATGACAAAACTAAACCAAGCTACAGGTCAGGTTTTAGCTTACCTGCCCTAACAGTTCTCAAGTGATGGCTTGTTGGCATAACGCGATCTTGAGCTAGGCCAAGAGGAACAGTGGTACAGAACTGAGACCTTGAGGCCTCCCTGCCTCAAGTCCCACTTTTGTCATTACTTGTCCTGTGGCTGGACAAACGACCTTCCTGTTCCTCAATGTCTGTAACATGGGAACAGCAAACAGTACCTACCTCACAGAGGTGTGAGAAGATGACATCACTTAATACACTTGCACAGTTACCGGCTTAGTACACGCCGAGTGCACTTAGCCACTCAAAATCATGAAAATGGCTATGTTCTCTTGGATCTCTCCCTCCACCCCCCACCTCCCTTTTGCCACTGCCTCAAACGCACGATGGCTCAGGCAGAGGCAGCTGACTCCAGGAGGATGAAAAATCCTTCCATGATGTACTTCAGAATTCTCTTTTACAGGTGTCTAACCTTAGGCAGAATCCTGAGAGCTGCAAAGCCGGGTGAGGAATGGTCATTGCAATCTCCAGGCCCAGCACAGAACGGGGACCACAGTGCTTCCCGGAGGAACCACCATCGATGAATAAACAAGTCTAACAGCCTAGCACAGTTTAAGTGGGGGCCAGCAGAGCTTAGCGTCACATGGTTTTCTCCTCACTGGGGAGATCTCTTTTCAAAGACCCGTCTCTCCCTGGGCTGTTTAGACCCATAAGGATGTTTAGCCAAGATTCTGCTGAATAAATACGACAGAGAATCCTGGGGCTTGGCCCACATTGGGGAAGTTGGGGTTGTTTTGGGGGACACTGGAAGGCTGCTCCCACACCGGTGAGATGGGTAAACACTGATTTGACGTAACCCAGAGGTGCCCTCGCGTTTATAAGCTACTTTACTGACATATGTCTATTTCCTTACAAGGGGTCATTCCTAAAACCCTTCAAACAGACGTATGATCACAGCCAGCTTAACAGTCCATCATCAAGTGATGGTTCCCCCAAGCTCCGCTGACGACCGAAATCCAAACCACCCTGCGACGGAAAATGGGACGGGCTGGAGTTGGGAAGGGTCGCAAGGCCGGCGGCTCCCACGGTTGGCCCCACGCTCCCACCGGGGTCCGGCCTCAGCCCGGAAGCCACGCCATCAGGGCCGTCTCATTGCGCAGGCGCCGCCTCGGCCCGCATGCGCACTGCGTGCGGCGCGGCCCAAAGAAGTTTACATTCCCGCCGCGGCAGCACCCTATTTGTCCTCCCACCTTCTTCATTTTCCTATTCCCGGCAGGTAGGAGTCTAGGGGTCTCTTCCCACCCAGCTTCCGAGGATCTTGGGGCCCTGGGACACTTACCTCAGTAGCTTGGGATACTTTGCCCTCACGGCCCCGCCCCCAGAACCAGCCTGAGCAATGGCGCTCACCACGACGGGGACGGCGGCGTGCTCGTGCCCGGGCGCGGAGCCAGGCAACGTGCTCGCGCCCGCGCAGGCGTCGGGGCTGCGTGCGGAGGGCGTGGCTCCGGCGGAGGGTGAGGTGAAGGAAGCGCTTCTGGAAAGGACTTCCTGTTGCTCCTCTCGGCCTTGGTTTACCCGCGGCCGCCAGCCCCTTTCCTCTCACCTCGCAGTGACTTTCTCGTGTTTTTCGTTCTCTCTTTACGATTCAGTGCATCCGCTTCTCCCACCATCTTGAAGAAAAGGACTCTTTGCTCTTTTCCAAACCCACCACGAAGCAGGTTCTTTAATCGGTCATTCCAGTCCTTTCTGAGGTGTGTCAGGGCCACAGTTTGGAAGTCTCTGAGGGGCCGACTTTGACGTTAAAGTTCACTTGTGTGGAGAACCTTCTTTTTTGAATCGTTCTAGAATGTGACATCATCAGACTTGCTAATCCTGTCCCCTGTTGCTTTATCTGAGCAGATTTGCCACCTGCGTTGTTTTTCATAATAGAATACTCCTTGTTTCTGTGAATACACAGCAGTCACAGTGACTCGTGGAGGCTTGAGGCAAGCAGTAGTGTGCTGGGTAAGAGTTGATGCATTTTTATTTGCAACTCTGAAATATTTTGATCTTCAGGACTATCCAGGCTATATGTGCTGGGAACGTAAGTTGAACTTCAGCACAACTAGACCATAAGGAACCTTTGCTTCCTAAACTATTGGTTCTGTAAGTGATGGCAGCGGCCAGGAGTTTGCATCTCAGTGATGGCCATGCTGTTGGGCAGTGGTTGGTTAGGGAGCCAGGGAAGTTAGAACTGCTTTGGCAAGCAGCTGGATCTGGTGGTTGGGATTTTATTTCTAGTACTTCTACAAGAAACTAGGGCCTATCTCTCCTCTTGGATCAGCAAGTCTGCTGAATATCCCTCATTGTCTTGATTATTGTGTAAAATTTAGAAGGGGTGCTACCTTTTGCTAATGATTAGGTAGACACAGACGATTAGGTTAAAGTAATCGAAGGCTCCTTCAGAGACGTGGACCAAGGGTGACACAGAGTTGATGGCTTTGCTGTGTAGAGTGAGGGATGGAATCCTGTGGACAATGCAGCCACTACCCTGACAGGGCTGGCAGAAGGGGGCCAGGGGAAAACAGACCTGCTCTCGCCTAGCATGTATTGTCATCAGGTGTCCTTTTAGGCCCACTTCATGGTCCATGTGATAGAGCTTGGGCTTTGGTTTTGATTTAAAGAGGTACAATGATACTTTTATCTTTCTAAGACTGCCCCACAGTATTTTCTTGGAGAAATAGTCATGGAAGTGCTGCGCCCACAGCTTGTAAGAATTGAAGGACGGAATTACAGGAAGAACCCCATCCAGGAGAAGACCTATCAGCATGAAGAAGAAGATGAGGACTTTTACCGAGGTAACTGGGGTGGCTGCTTGGCCAGAGCAGAGGTACAGCGCACCCTGTGGTGTTGGAACTGTTCTTTGTTTCGTCTTCCTGAATATCTGTGTCAATGCTGACATTTGAGATCTTTGATTTGCCCGGGCTCATCTCACATCCAAAGGTACCGCTGAATGGAAGGTGACCGAGGCATCCTCTGTGGCAGGGCCTTACTCGTTCTAGTTCATCCTCATCACAAGAGGCTTAAATGTCACACTGGGGATCATTTTAGTTCATCATTAATATTAACCATTCATATTGTGTGACAAAATTAAGTTCGGTTTGTCTGCAATCCTATGGAATAATATATATGTAAATTATCAAAATGTGCTGAGGATTCAGTCCCATGCCCGGCCAAGAGTGTAAGCTACGTGTCCTTTTTCTCTGTGTGTCATGTAGAGACAGTTCCAGATGCACAAATAAATAATGTAGGAATAATTGTACAAATAAAAAGTTGAGTTGACTTACAAAAATGTAAGTTATGGTAAAAAAATGTAAGTAATGTTCAGGTTAACTAACTTGAGTTTGCTTTTAATCTATAACATTGCTCTTGAATTTTTTGCTCCAATTCCCTCCTGGTCTATAAGCCTTTCATGGGGCGCTAAGCCCAGGGGCTGTCCTTCCCCTCATCTCCATTGTTTCCCGTTAGTCTTGGGACCTTAAGCTTCCTCTTGTTCTTTTTCTAGACCATGTGGAATGAGGGTTTTTTTTTTTTTTTAGATTTATTTACTTTTATTGGAAAGGCAGATTTACAGAGAAGGAGAGACTTCTGTTTGCTGGTTCACTCCTCAATTAGTAACAAGGGCTGAGCTGAGCTGATCTGAAGCCGGGAGATTATTCCAGGTCTCCCACACAGGTGCAGGGTCCCAAGGCTTTGGACCATCCCCTACTGCTTTGCTAGGCACAAGCAGGGAGCTGGATGGGAAATGGAGCAGCTGGGACTTGAGCTGGCACCCATATGGTATCCTGGCACATCTAAAGTGAGGATTTAGCCACTGAGCCATTGTGCCGGGCCCAATTTCTTAATACTGAAAACGTAGGTCAGCATTGTGGCATAGTGGGTTAAGTTACTACTTGTGGGGCCTGGGTGGTGGCCCAGCAGCTAAAGTCCTTGCCTTGAACGTGCCAGGGTCTCATATGGGTGCTGGTTCTAATCCTGGCAGCTCCACTTCCCATCCAGCTCCCTGCTTGTGACCTGGAAAAGCAGTAGAGGATGGCCCAAAGCCTTGGAACCTTGCACCTGCGTGGCAGACATGGGGGAGGTTCCTGGCTCCTGGCATTGAATTGGTACAGCTCTGGCCATTGTGCTCACTTGGGGAGTGAATCATCGGATGGAAGATCTTCCTCTCTGATTCTCCTCCTTTCTGTATGTCTGACTTTGCAATAAAAAATAAATAAATATTTAATAAAATAAAAGTTACTACTTGTGTTGCTAGCATCTCTGACAGAGCCAGTCTGGCTGTTCCACTTGTTCCAGCTCTCTCTGCTAATGTGGCTGGGAAGGCAGCAGAGGATGGTTCAAGCGTTGGTGCCCCTGCATCCACTTAGGAGGCCTCGATGGAGCTTCGAAACATTTGGAGGCAATCAGTGATTGGAGGATCTCTCTCGCTTACTCTGCCTTTAAAATAAATAAACGAACCTTTAAAGAAAAAAAAATCTGAAGAACAACTCAGTTGTGTAGTTTGAATGCAGTGAATTTTGTTGCATGAATTATATTTCAAAAAACAATGAAATTTTTTTTTTTTTAAAGATTTGTTTTTATTATTTTTTCATTGGAAAGGCAGATATACAGAGAGGAGAGACAGAGAGGAAGATCTTCCATCCGATGATTCACTCCCCAAGTGAGCGCAACGGGCCGATACTATGCCGATACGAAGCCAGGAGCCTCTTCCGGGTCTCCCACGCGGGTGCAGGGTCCCAAAGCTTTGGGCCGTCCTCGACTGCCTTCCCAGGCCACAGGCAGGGAACTGGAAAGGAAGCGGGGCTGCCGGGATTAGAACTGGCGCCCACATGGGATCCCGGGCGTGCAAGGCGAGGACCTTTAACCACTTGCGCCACCGCGCCGGGCCCAACAATGAAATATTTTTATTACTTTCTTTCTGAGAACAGCGTTAAATACTGTTCCTATGTATATGTACTACTTGAAATACTTAAAATATCCCCTATATGGTTGTTTAATGCTTTATTGTCTCTGAGAGAAGTCGGAAGGGATGACAGAACCATAGTCTGCAGGGTAGGTTGTTTGCACCTGTGTCCTGCTGTTGAGGGCAAGGCTGGCATCTGGGGAGAGGGCTGTTTTCCCAGGCAGGGCCATTCCTGGGACAGCCTTTCTGAGCAAGGTGCTGTGGTTTTTGTGCAGGCACCATGGAGGACACCGATGAGCCCTGTGATGCCTACGATGTGGAGCAGACCCCGCAAGGATTCCGCACTACCATGAGGGCCCCCAGCCTGCTCTACAAGTGAGTCAGAGCCCCCACCCGTTGCGGCCTCCCAGGCAGGGGCTCCCAGGAAACTCAGCGGGAAGCCGACTCTTCAGTCCTCCACGCTTATCGTGGTATTTGATTACTGCTGATGAAATAGCTTAAGGTTTCATGTGCTAGAATTTCAGAGGACAAATTACCTTGCACAGGTGTTGTCTTTCCTGATGATTTTGCCTCTTATGTGTTGCTTGACTTTACCACTTATTTCTCTTTACTTCTGTACCTTTTGTCCGGATGACTGCAAATGCTCTGCTTCCTGGCCTCTCCACAGTCGCTTGCTCTCTTCTCACTTTTTCATGTTGAGGTGGAATGATATTAAGAAGTAGATTTGGTGATTTTACCACCTCGGCTTAGAATCCGTTAATGGCTTTCCTGTGAAGGTAGAATTCCATTCCCTCGGAGTACCAGCCTGAATCTTGAATGTAACTTAGCTAGCCGTGTGTTTTTGTTTTGTTTTTTAAAGACTTATTTTATTATTATTGAAAAGTAAGATATACAGAGGGAAAGAGAGACAGAGAGGAAGAGCTTCCATTCTATGATTTACTTCTCAAGTGACCAACTGCAGTAGTAGGTGCTGCGCCGATCCAATGCCAGGAGCTAGGAACCTCCCCCAGGTCTCCCACACGGGTACAGGGTTCCAAGGCTTTGGGCTATCCTCGACTGCTTTTCCAGGTCACAAGCAGGGAGCTGGATGGGAAGTGGGACTGCTGGGATTAGAACCGGCGCCCATATGAGATCCTGGCATGTTCAAGGCAAGGACTTTAGCCACTAGGCCACTGTGCTGGGCCCAGCCCTGTGTTTTTGAAGCTTAACTCATACCATTTCCCAGGCTTTGTGCTTACACACATCTGACTTTTTTCAGTTTCTCCAGAGTGCTGTGCTTCTTCCTGTTACTTAGAGCTTTGTGTTGCTGTTCTTTTTGCCTTAGAGTCTTTTCCATCTTTATATATTTTTTACTCCTTTGAGGGACTTGCTTTGATACCGTCATCCCCACCAAACACATTGATTACCCTATTAACACCTCTGCTTTTTTTTGGTGGCATTTATCCCATTCTCTGTTTAATTACATGCTACTTGCTCTGTGCTGTATGAGATGGGAGGCTGCTTCTTTTTTAAAAAAAATAATTATTTTTATTTTTGGTGATTTTGACATACTTGATTAGGGTGGTTGGGTCAAGGGCTATAGGAAGGTGGGTGAGATCATGATCACCTTTTCCACATTCTCGTTTCCCTTCCTGTATCTGGGGGAAGGGGGAGACAAGGAGAGAAGCCACACCCACCCTCCTGAATGCCTCTGCACCCTGGGATGGAGGACAGTCACCTGACACCACCCCAGAGTCCCTGATGTGGGGCATGCTCTGAGGATCCTCCTCAAAAGGTTTTGATAGTTCAACAGTTCCAAATTACTGCCACTCCAAGCACGATGAAATCTCTCCAGAATCCACTGATTGAATTAGTCCACCTTAGAGTCCCCGTTTGCCTAGATATTCACTGCCAACATTTGGCTGTGGTAGTTAATCGATTTGTTCTGTCCTCTGTCCTTCGTCATGTTACCAGGTGTCCTCTGTGGACTCCAGTGTACTGCCATATCCTCCATGTGTACCTGGATATGCTGTCCACTGCTCTGTTTTAGCCACTGAGGAGGCCCAGCTCTGACACATGCACTCTACAGTCAGACCAGGGAACCTGCAATTCTCTCCATGGTTGGGATTCTGAGTCCATTAGATCAGTTGGGAGGATCTGCATAGAAGCTTATTCTGAGGTGATCCCAGAACTGATTCTTGTGCATGCTTGCCAATACAGGGTCCGGCACAGTCCATTGTCCCAATCAGCTTATGCACATGCTAGTGGTTGTAGTTGCTGGGTCAGTTCTGTCTCCAGCCCTGTCTTTTACACAAACCAGTAGGTGTTGCAGTACAACCCGATCCTGCCTAGCGCACACTGGGCCCTCACATACACTAGTGGAGGCTGCAGCCTAGTTGTAGAGACCCACGATAACCTCCACCAGGCCCGCCCCCGGCCTAGATCCCGTGCTTGTCAGTATGTACAGCAGACTGGTACAGTCTGTCCCATATCCCATTCTGTTCTCATACATGTCAGTGGGCGTTGAACCCTATTTCAACCCAACCACCCCCACTATCCAGTCCATACACCTTCTGGCTGATGCCACTTTGTCTAGTCATGCCTGTCCCAGACCTGGTTTTCATGTTTACCAGTTGGAGTGACAATCCAGGAGGAAGGTGTCCACTGTTTCACTTCTGGGCCCACTCCCACATATTGCACTCTCCAGATGGTTCTGCAGTTTAACTTGACAGAATTTGCCCCTGTGCCTGCCTCTATTGGCTGATGCTGCGGCAAAGCCCAACCAGCCCATATCCACTCTGACTTATGCTTGTACCAGTAGGAGCAGTCAACCCAACCTGGCTTTCCTCTGATCCAGCCCACATGAGGCCCACAGGTGTTGTAGCCCTGCCCGGCCTGGTTTGCCCCCCATCCCAACTCATGCTGTGCAGTGGGAATGGTGGTCCAGCAGGGAAGCCCTCCACAGCCGCTCTAATGACTTTACCCCCTCCCCATTGGGATCTCCCACATGGGTCTCACATGCGCTGGTTGGGTGCTGCAGCCCAGTCTGGCATGGCCCACTCTCCTCGGCATTTGCCTGTGGGTGCTGTAGCCTGGCTAGACCAGGCACACCCTGTATTCCAACCCACGCTCGTTGGGGCTACAGCCTAGCCCAGCCTAGCTGGCCCCCAGTCCTGGCCCTCATGTGAACTGGCTTGTGTTGTAACTCTTCCTGGCCTTACCCACACTCCATTCTGGTGCTTGGATTCACCAGTGGGAGGTGTGAACCGGCTCAGCCTGGTTTGCCCCTGACCTGTGCCAAATGTATGCTGCTGGGTACCTTTCCCTGGTCTGGTCTGGACTACTCCCTATCGTGGTTCTTGTGCTCACCTGTGTCCTGACAGAGAAGTTTCCCAGGCCCCTCCATCAGAGCCTCTCCCAGTGCCAGATCTTACACACACCAGTGGGTCTTGGGCCAGCCCTACTTAGTCCACCTTCTGTCCTAGCTGAAACAATGGCCTTTCCTGATTGGCCTTCACCCATTCCGGTTGTTACAGCCCAGCCAAGCTGATCCACAGCCAGACACAGCTCACACATGGCTCAGCTGGGATGTAGACCTAGCCTAGCCCACCCCACACCTACCCTGGCTCTCACGAGCACCAGTTGGTGCTGGAGTCTAGCCCAATCTGGCACACCCCAGACCCAGCCCACACTTCTGCTAAGGGACATTGCAGCTATCCCCAGACTAGACAGCAGCTCCCACTCTCGCCTTCGCACTCGCCAGTGGGAACCACAACCCAGCCAGGGTGTCCCCTTTGTTCCCCAACCAGTCCTGTTCCCAGCCATAATTTGCGCATGTGCCAGTGGATGCTCTGACCCAGCTTGGCATAGCCCCTCATCTGTCTTGGGCTTTGCCTTTGGATGCTGTAGCCTTGCCTGACCCAGCCTGCCTCCAGCACCAGCTCTGCTGGCAGGGGCTATACCTTGGCTCTGCTCAATTTGCTTCCATCCCTGGCTCATGCAAACCAGTAGGTGTGACAGTCTAGTTCGGCATGACCTGCACTCCAGCCTAGTTTCTGCAGTCCCTGGGGAGCTAAGGTTTTCTTGGGTCTGCTTGGTCTGCGCTCTTCCACAACCAACCCACACAGTTGGAGCTACCTTGCCTGCCTGACTCCTAGGCCTGGACCATGTGCTCACCAGCAGGAGCTATGACCCACTAGGGGAGTTTCCCAAGTTTTCCCACTCGGCCCACTCTAAGACCTATATCTCATGCATGCCAGCGGGTGCTATGCCCTTGCCTGGCATAGCCTGCTCCTCCGTCTTCACCTAGTATTAGCTGGTGTATGTTGTGGCCTGGCCCGGCCCACACCCTGTTTTAGGATGCACTTGTAGGTGCTGCAGCCTGAACCTGCCCAGCCTATTCTCGGCCCCAGTACCTGTGAGTGTTGGCAGGTTCCATGTTCACACCTAGCTCAGCTCATCACCACTCTTAACTCTTGAGCTAACCAGTGGGACTTGCATTTTCACAGGCTTTGGCCTACAAATCCCCCACAGAATCTACCCCCGGACTTGGTAGTCTCATGTGCTGGATAGTGTCATGGCCTTGCCTAATGTGACCCGTCCCCTGTTGTGACATTCAGTCAGATACTAGGATCTAGTCCTGCTAGACAGGCCCTCACGCTGGCTTTTGTGTGGATTGGCATGAGGTGGTGCATGCTAACAAGCCCAACTCCGGATTCCCATGTGGTCTATGACCCATACAGATCTTTTAGTCTCTCTTCTTCAAACTATCAAGTCTCAATCTCCTTGTTTTCCTACACGTATAGTGGCCCTGTCATTGAGTGTCTCTCAGGATTAATTCCGCACCTACACGTACTGTGTCCTTATCCATGCATGTCTCTGGATAATAATTTCAGACCCGTAAGACCTCAGAGCTTGCCACTGGACAGCCAGCAGGCAACTCAAGATGGTGCCGTTGTTGCTCTGGCTGGCTGTAAGCCAGGATTCTCCCACCGCTTGGCAGCACTGGATGGGAATCTAGAATCCCCAGCAGGAAGCCTGGCCTGGCATGTGTTCTCCCAGCCACAGCCATGTGGCTGAGAGATTCAGATACCCACACCTCTGAGCCGACTTAACTCCACCTACCAGCATGGCGAGAAACTTCTTAAAGGCAGTATGTTAATCCCTTGATGCTTATCCAAGACTGATTTGTTCTTCCTAATCATCTCTGTCATTGCTTAGAAGCTTTGTGATCACCCAGGACTGTCCCATGTTAACCCGAGAGGCGTTCAGTGTTAGGCTGACTTTGCATGGATGCCTGTGATGCTAAGCTGATCTAGGAAGTCTCGGTTGTTTTTCTCTGTTACACCGCATGAACCATTAGGTCTGTCCAAGCACATTAGGGTTGTGGGAAGAATTTCACAAATGCAGGATTAGGTGCCTTTAGTTTCCAAGAGGCAAATGGTTTCATTTTTGCCAATCTTGAGAGCATTCCAAAATAGTTAAAGATGAAATTCACCTGGAATGTGGTCAAATGAGAATATTACTAACCCTGACAGCTTGCTTTTCCTTGCAGGCTTATGTGACATTTTCCCTAGGAAACATAATCTTAGAAAGATGTGACTCATTTCCTAACTGAGTCAACAAAGCATGTCTTACTGTGTGTGTTTTTCATTGGTGAGATTTGTAAACATTCTTTTGATGTCTGATTCTGATTGGATTGTCTTTTGAATGCTTTGTAGTCTAAATACCTAGTAGTAATTATGGACCAGATGTCTTGCATATTAGATTAGGTATTAATTCAGCTAAATTTTAATTATAAGACAGTATTTACCAGGAAGAGTTCTTTGCTATGAATGATTTTCTGTACTTCGGTCAAGGAAGAAATAACTCAGCCAAATTAATTGATCAAAGCCAAAGGTTGGCAATCCCTGTCTGGGGCATAGAGCTGGTGCTGTGATTCTCAGCCTTAGGACATCTTGGAATCACCTGGTTGCTTTTGAACCTCTCAGTGTCTGGGTGTACCTCAGACCCATCAAATCAGAATCTCTGAGGGTAAGACCCAGGGGGGTTAGGTTTTGAAACTCACAATCCAAGGTATTTCCATTGTGTGGCCAAGATTGGAATGAATGGTTTTGAAAGGAATTTTCACTTACATATTCTTTGCTTACCTGCATTACTTTGATTCTGGCTGTTTTTACATGGAAGGATACTGTTGTGAACTTAATGAAGAACACGCACACTGTTTGCAGCTCAAGGAGAGTTCCTGGACACTTTTTTTTAAAAAGATTTATTTATTTTTATTGGAAAGGCAGATTTACAGAGAGAAGGAGAGACAGAAAGACAGAAAGATCTTCCGTCTGCTGGTTCACTCCCCAAGTGGCTGCAATGGCTGGAGCTGAGCCGATCCAAAGCTAAGAGCCAGGAGCTTCTTCGTGGTATCCCACATGGGTGCAGGGTCCCAAGGCTTTGGCCATCTTTGACTGCTTTCCCAGGCCACAGGCAGGGAGCTGAATGGGAAGTGTGGCAGCTGGGATTAGAACCTGTGTCTTGTTGCTTCTCGGCTTTTTGGCTAAGATCAAGTGTAGAACCGGTGTCCATATGGGACCCTGGTGTGTGCAAGGCAAGGACTTTAGCCACTAGGCTATTGCACCAGGCCCACACTCTTTCATATACGATTACATTTTAACCTTCTGACAATTTTATGATACCTAGATATTAGTTATTTCCATTTTTGTGAGAAAAAGGCTTGGAGTGTTTAAATGATTTTAACCTCAACTATTGAAATTCTAAACTATTAATAACCTTTCTAGCAAATTGCCTTCTTCTGCTAGATTTGTCCACTAGCCACATGCCAATTAATAGGCATCTGATTAAAAGCTCTCCTAATTAAAAGGGCCTGGGAAGCCGAAGGCCTGAAAATTATGCCATAGCTTAACGCAGAAAAACCACATGGAAATTACGTAATTCCAATCCTCTTTGAAACATCTTTTCTTTTTTTTTAAATGTTATTTATTTGAAATGCACAATAATATATGTATGTGTCTCTGTGTGTGTATAAATAGATTGAGATCTTCTATCTAGTTTACTCCCCGAATTACCACAGTGACTAAGGTCTAGGGCTGCGGTGGAGAAGCCGAAGCCGGGAGTCTGGAACTCTGTATAGGTCTCCCACATGGATGGCATGCCCAAGCAATTGCACCATCTTCCATTGTCTTCCCAAGAGTATTAACAAGAAGTTTTATTAGCAGTGGAGCCAGGACTGGTATTTCAAGCAGAATCTTAACTCACTGTGTCACAGTGCCTAACCCAAACTGGATTACCACAGATCTTTTATTTTTTTTTTAAGATTTTATTTATTTTTATTGGAAAATCAGATTTAGGGAGGAGACACATAATGAAAGGTCTTCCATCTACTAATTTACTTCCCAAGGCTAGCTCTGAGCCAGCCTGAAGCCAGGAACCAAGAGCTTCTGGGTCTCTAATATGGGTGCAGGGTCCTAAGGCTTTGGACCATCTTCTACTGCTTTTCTAGGCCATAAGCAGGAAGCTGGGTTGGGAGTGGAACAGCTGGTACTCAAACCAGCACCCATATGGGATCCTGGCAGATGCAGGGTAAGGATTTAGTCACTAGGCTATTGTGCCAGGCTCTATGGATTACCTTTTTATTCTTCTTCTGAATGTATCCTAATGGTGAATACTACTCTTTGCTCATCTTATCATTAACGCTTATTAAATTAATCAGATTATTTAATTTAGGATTAACTGATAGTTCTCCCAAAGGATAGCATAGTCCCCCTTCAAATCATAGACCTCTTGCCTGCTAGAAAGGTGCTTTGAAACTGGCTAGCCTTTCAAATCTGATTCTAAAGAGCGAGGGAGTGTCAGCATGGTTATCCTGTTTATAGGTTGAGCATTGTTGGCCAGTGAGTAATTCCACATCTGTGGAACTAAATAGCTTAATGATTTCCTCTGTAAATATTGAACTTTTGCTAAAACACTTCTATTCTGGTACATTCAGTGTAATCCTCTTCTATTTTTGTTTTACAGGCATATCGTTGGAAAGAGAGGGGATACCAGGAAGAAAATAGAGTTGGAGACTAAAACATCTATCAGCATTCCCAAGCCTGGACAAGATGGAGAAATTGGTGAGAGCCAGTTAGTCACATTTAGAGTTAATTTTGCTGGTATGTGAAATGGCACTCCAACAGAACCATTTAGTGAGGTTCTCTGTGGGAATCCGCAGCTGTTGGCCTTATTGTTATGTGTCAGTATCACTATCCCAGATGGAATGGTATGCAACTTTATACTGAATGAGTACTTGAGTTTTTTTTAAAGATTTATTTTTATTATTTTGTTATTGGAAAGGTGGATATACAGAGAGGAGAGACAGAGAGGAAGATCTTCCATCCGATGATTCACTCCCCAAGTGAGCGCAACGGGTCGATACTATGCCGATCCGAAGCCAGGAGCCTCTTCCAGGTCTCCCACGCGGGTGCAGGTTCCCAAAGCTTTGGACTGTCCTCAACTGCTTTCCCAGGCCACAAGCAGGGAGCTGGAAGGGAAGCGGGGCTGCCGGGATTAGAACCGGCGCCCATATGGGATCCCGGGCGTGCAAGGCGAGGACCTTTTAACCACTTGCGCCACCGCGCCGGGCCCGAGTACTTGAGTTTTAATTTTATACTTTAGCATGCACTGATTCAATAGTATCCAGATTTCATTGTGTATTAGATTTATTATAAGATTTTGAAGCTTGAAATGGAGTATATGAATTACTTCAGATTAGAATTAGAGAAAATCAGTGAGATCAGTGAAATGAATAAAGTTCAACTCTTCCTAAAAGTGCTCTTTCAAATTTAACCCTAGCTTTGCAGTTCAGGATGGAAAAGGTAAGGATAATAATTAGAATAACGTAGCCATAGGATTCGTGCTGTGTTGTAGCTGGTAAAGCTGCCTCCTGTGACACTGGCATCCCATGTGGATACCGGTTCAAATCCTGGCCACTTCTAGTCCAGCTGCTGTTAATGTGCCTGGAAAAGCAGCAGAGGATGGCCCGGGTACTCGGACCCCTGCACCCATGTGGGAGACCCAAATCAAGCTCCTGGCTTCTGCCTGACCCAGCCTTGGCCATCAGCCTTTTGGGGAGTAAACTAGCAGTTGGAAAATTTTTTTCGCTCTTTCCTTCTCTCTGTAACTGCCTTTCAAATAAGTAAATCAGTGTTGCATAAAATAATGTAACCTGAATCAAATAATTGCTCCGATGAGGAAAAATAATTTAGTAGAATAAATCACAATAAGGTGTCAAGTGAACCAAGGACACAGGCTTTTATTTTCCAATAGCTTTGAGTGAGGGACACTCTAGGGGCAAGGTTTTTAAAAACTTGCTCTAAAACAAAGGATTTTTTTTAAGGTCAAATGGTGTAGTAGCCTCCTGTATTGTGTTTTTCATAAACATCCATCATTTCTGAGTTTTAGCAGAGTTGAGAAGTGCTGTTTACATTTTGTGCTGTGTAATACTTCGTATCTTGATGGACAGGCCTGGGTTCCCTTGAGGCAGTGCGATACAGAAGAGCTTCTTGCAGTAAGGTAATGTGCTGTGTGTGTGGTCTAGAACAGGAACCATAGCCAGGTGACTGCAAGTGCTCAAAGTATGGCTAGTGTGACTGATGAACTTAAAATGTTTAAACTTCAGATTAGTTCAACTCTCTGTGAGCGCTCATGTAGAGCAGTGCAGTATTAGGAATTTTTCCTGGCCTGTTGGTAAAGTCAGTAAGCTCCAGCATAAGAGCGTCATGTTTTGGAAGGACCTTTTTTTAAAAAAAAAAAACATAAATATTACAGCTAAGAAGTGAAAACTGGGGACCTGCGTTTTGGTACAGCATGTAAAGTATTCACCTGCCATGTTGGCATCCTGTGAAGATTCTGGAAGGTTCTGATTCAGCTCCCTGCTGATCATTGGAAGATGGGCCAAGGCCTTGGGCCCTTGTACCCACCTGGGCCCTGAGGAAGCTCCTGCCTCCTGACTTCTTTTTGGCTTCTTTTCTGGCCATTGTGGATATTTGGATATCTAACCAGAGGGTGGAAAATCTCTATCTGTCTGTCCTTTTCTTCTCTCTCTAGCTTTGCCTTTCAAATAGATAAAAGAAATCTTTAAAGTAAAAGACTAAAAACGCATAAAAATTTTATGTTCTTGAAAGTTAAAGTAAGAACTATTGAAGTGCTTTTATAATTTCTTTTTTTAAAAAGATTTATTTATTTTTTTATTACAAAGTCAGGTATACAGAGAGGAGGAGAGACAGAGATGAAGATCTTCCATCTGATGATTCACTTCCCAAGTGAGTGCAATAGCTGGAGCTACACCAATCCGAAGCCAGGAGCCAGGAACTTCCCATCCAGCTCCCTACCTGTGGCCTGGGAAGGCAGTTGAGGACAGCCCAATGTATTGGGACCTTGCAGCTGCATGGGAGACCCAGAAAAGGTTCCAAGCTCTGGGCTGCTGGCTTCAGATTGGTGCAGCTCTGGCCGTTGTGGCTGTTTGTGGAGTGAATCATCGGACAGAAGATCTTCCTCTCTGCCTCTCTTCCTCTCTGTATATCTGACTTTGCAATAAAAAATATAAATAAATGTTAAAAAAAAAAAAAGAACAGTATTGGAAGTGGAGCACCCAAGACTCAAACTGGTGCACATAAGAGATGCTGAAGCTGAAGAAGGAGCCATAACTTGTGGGACACTGCTGCCCACACCCCTAGCCATTTTAAGGTAAGGGAGCTGATTGAAGCAGTAGACAGGTTGTGAAGATTCCATTTACCTTAGGAAACAGGAGTGTTGCAGTGCAAAAAACTAGTTAGTCCAATTAAAGTTAGAATGTAGTGGGGCAAATTTAATTGAAATGCAAGGAGATAAGCTGGTTTATTGGTCTTGTAGGGAAGCAATATATAGAAAAATCAACTTTGTTGGTTAGAGCAAATTGAGTTGTAATGTGATTACAAGATTGTGGTTGGATTGATTTTGTTTGCTGTCTCTTGTTCATCTTTTGTATCCTCTGAATTAGAGAAACTGGAGAAGGGATTGACATAGGAGGCTTGGATTTGTCCTTTAGACAAGAATCTGATCTTCCTGTTTTGCAGTCTCAAGTTATGGGACATTAGGGGACTCTTTTAAAAGGATTTTGTCATTTGCAGTTAGGGAATTCTTTGTTTGTTTTTTTAAAGATTTTATTTTAATTTTTATTGGAAATTCAGATATACAGAGAGGAGGAGAGACAGGAAGATCTTCCGTTTGATGATTCACTCCCCAAGTGAGCTGGTACTGCTCTGATCTGAAGCCAGGAACCAGGAGCCTCTTCCTGGTCTCCCACGCGGGTGCAGGGTCCCAAGGCTTTGGGCCGTCCTCGACTGCTTTCCCAGGCCACAAGCAGGGAGCTGGATGGGAAGTGGAGCTGCCAGGATTAGAACCGGCGCCCATATGGGATCCCAGAGCGTTCAAGGCAAGGACTTTAGCTGCTAGGCCACTGTGCCGGGCCCAGGGAATTCTTTTCAAAAATTTAACAATGAGGTGGATATTTGGTGCATCACTTAAGTTGCCAGTTGGGCTTCCTATGTCCTAAGTCAGCGTGTATAATGGATTTCACCTCTTCATCCAGCTTTCTGTTACCATGCACTCTGGGGGACAGCTGGTAGTGGCTCAAGTATCTGGGTCCCTGCCACCCATATGAGAGTCACAGATTGAGTCCCAGGCTTCTGGTTTCAGTCTGGCGCAGCCCTGGCTTTGCAAGCACTGGGGGAGTGAACCAGTGGCTGGAACATCTTTGTCTCTTTGTGTCTCTGTCTCTCTCCCTTTCAAGAAAGTAAGTATTTAACCCCGATACCTTTACTCATTTTATTATCTGTGTTTCCTGTGGTGCATAGCCCCATGCCACATAGACTCTGATCCTTAAAAGTGTTTGTAATTGTAGAATATTTCCGACCTTATCATATTTGTTCATCTGTCACTGATCAACAGCTTTGGCTGTAAATCCATCTCTAGACATTCTTCAAGTGCCCTCTTCAGTTTTCTGTTTCAAAAATGAGAGCACTTAACTGAGGTTACTCTCCGTCTGCTGAAAAACCAGACGTAGCATTTTATACCCAACTTTTACAGACTTGATAGACATGCTTTGCCCTTACCCCATCTTTTTTTTTAAAAGATTTATTTATTTTTATTACAAAGTCAGATAAACAGAGAAGAGGAGAGACAGAGAGAAGATTTCTCCGTCCGATCATTCACTCCCCAAGTGAGCACAACGGCCGGTGCTGCGCTGATCTGAAGCCGGAAACCAGGAACCTCTTACGGGTCTCCCACACAGGTGCAGGGTCCCAAGGCTTTGGGCCGTCCTCAACTGCTTTCCCAGACCACACGCAGGGAGCTGGATGGGAAGTGGAGCTGCTGGGATAGGAACTGGTGCCCATATGGGATCCCGGGGCGTGTGCAAGGTAGGGACTTTAACTGTTAAGCTACTGTGCTGGGCCCACAGGTAGCTTTTTTGTATCTGATTTTTTAACTTAGTTTTTTTTTCTTTTTTTTTTTCCCAAGGAAAAAATTTTTTTTGTATTTTTTCTTAAGATTTATTTATTTTTATTGGTAAGTCATTTAGAGAGTAAAGGAGAGACAGAGAGAAATATCTTCCATCTTTTGATTCACTTCTTAAGTGGCTGCAGTGGTCAGAGCTGAGCCAACACAAAGCCAGGAGCCAGGAGTTTGTTCTGGGTCTCCCTCGTAGGTTCAGGGTCCCAGGATGTTGGACTGTCCTCAGTTGCTTTCCCAGTCCACAAGCAGGGAGGTAGAAGGGAGGTGGAACAGCTGGGATTCAAACTGGCGCCTCTATGGGATCCTGACACTTGCAAGGTGAGGACTTCAGCAACTAGGCTAGAGAGCTAAATCAGTAGCAGAATAGCCGAAGTTCCAACTGACACTCCAGTACAGGATGCTGGCCATGCTATGGTGCTGGCCCCTATATAGTCCTGTCCCATCCTTTACTTTCATTTCTGTTTTTTTTTTTTTTAATTTATTTTACTTTTGGGGCCAGCGTGGTTCCACAAAAGGCTAATCTGCCCGCAGCATCAATATTCCATATGGGCACCAATTCATGGCATACCTGCTCCACTTCTGATCCAGCTCCCTGCTTATAAACAGCGGTGGAGGATGGCCAAGTCCTTGGGCGCTTGCACCCATGTAGAAGATCTGTAAAGAAATTCCAACTACCTTTAGCTCAACTCTGGTCATTGTGGTCATTTGAGGAATGCACCAGCAGATGGTTTTAAAGATTTAAAAAAAATTAAAAAGCAGATTAAAAAAAGATTTATTTATTCATTTAAAAGGCAGTATGAGAGAGACAGAGGGAGAGAGATGTCTTAGATGTCTTCCATCTGCTGATTCACTCTCCAAATGGCCACAATCAGAACTGGGTTTATCCAAAGCCAGAATAAGATGCCTCCTCCAGGTCTCCCACCCTGTGGCAGGGGCTCAAGCACATGGGCCATCCTCTCTCCGCTGCTCTACCAGGTGTTCCAGAAAGGATCTGGATTGGAGGTGGAGCAGCTGGGACCTGACTGGTACCCATAGGGGATGCTGGTGTTGCATGCACCAGCCATACTAAGATACCTGCCCCAGTCTACATATTTTTTTAAACCAGCATATAAAAATTGTGGTGTGTGGGGTTAAGTGTGATGAACACTGAGCAACTGTATTATATTGTCTGATGATAAATCAAGGTAATTAGCATGTCTGTCACCTTAAAGTTTGGGTTTAGAACCTTTGGGCCCGGCTGCGCAGTGGCCTAGCAGTTAAAGTCTTCGCGTTGAACGCTCCGGGATCCCATATGGGCACCAATTCTAATCCTAGCAGCTCCACTTCCCATCCATCTCCCTGCCTGTGGCCTGGGAAAGCAGTTGAGGACACCCCAAAGCCTTGGGACCCTGCACTCCCATGGGAGACCTGGAAGAGGTTCCTGGCTCCTGGCCTCGGATCGGCAAAGCATCCGCCGTTGTGGTCACTTGGGGAGTGAATCATCAGACGTAGGATCTTCCTCTCAATCTCTCCTCCTTTCTGTATATGTGACTTTGTAATAAAAAATAAATAAATCTTTTAAAAAAATAGAACCTTCAAATTTCTCTTTATAAGTATATAATAATTTGTTATAAATTGGGGCCAACATGGTAGCCTAGTAGCTAGAGTTCACACCTGGCACACATCAGGATCCTACGTGGGCCCTGGTTCATGTTCTGGCTGCTCCACTTACTGTCCAACTCGCTGCTTGTGGACTAGAAAGGCAGTAGAGGACAGCCCAGGGCCTTGGGACTCTGCAACCATGTAGGAGACCTAGAGGAGGCTCCTGGCTCAGCTCCAGCCAGTTCACTTGGGAGCGAACCAGCGGATGGAGGATACTTCTGTCTGTCTCTCCTTCACTTTGTAGATCTGCCTTTCTAATAAAAACAAAGATGGGAGGGGTGGGGGGGATCCCCAGCGCCTATAAAACTGTACTACATAATATAATGTAAGCAACAATAAAAAAAAAAAAGAAAAAAAAAAACCAAAAAAAAAAAAAAAACAAAGAAATCTTTTAAAAAAATTGTTGTAAACCTCATCTATCCTACCATGCTATAGAAGGTGTACTGTATTTTCTGTCTTCAGAGTTCATGAGCAGCCTCTTGGAACTTGACCCCTGCTCAGATTTATATACTCATTCTGACTTAAAAAAAAATTTTTTTTTTCTATTTTATTTATTTGAAAGAGTTACAGAAAGAGATACCTTTCTTTTTTTTTTAAGATTTATTTTTATTGGAAAAGCAGATTTACAGAGAGAAGGAGATACAGAAAGATCCTCCATCTTCAGGTTCAATCCCCAGTTGGCTACAGGGACTGAAGTTGAGCTGGTCTAAAGCCAGGAGCCAGGAGCTTCTTCTGGGTCTCCCACTTGGGTTCAGGGTCCTAACGCTTTGGACCGTCCTCTGCTGCTTTCCCAAGCCAGAAGCAGGAAGCTGAAATGAAAGTAAAACACCAGGGCATGAACTGATGCCCATGTGGGATCCTGGCATTTGCATGGTGAAGAGTTAGCTTCTGAGCGATCACCTGGGCCCACATTCGGAACTTTTTTTTTAAAGATTTATTTTTATTTTTATTGGAAAGGCAGATATACAGAGAGGAGAGAGACAGAGAGGAAGATCTTCCATCCGATGATTCACTCCCCAAGTGAGCGCAACGGGCCCGATACTATGCCGATCCAAAGCCAGGAGCCTCTTCCGGGTCTCCCACGCGGGTGCAGGTTCCCAAAGCCTTGGGCCGTCCTCGACTGCTTTCCCAGGCCACAGGCAGGGAGCTGGATGGGAAGCAGGGCTGCCTGGGATAGAACCGGCGCCCATATGGGATCCCGGGCATGCAAGACGGGGACTTTAACCACTGCGCCACCGCGCCAGGCCCCCACATTCTGAACTTTTGAGCTTTTTGGGAGAGGACAAATTAAGGGCCTATCTGCTTACAAGCCCTTGGGATCCTTGGGAATGTTAACTTCTCTCTGTTGTTTGCAGTAATCACTGGCCAGTATCGGAATGGCGTAATTTCAGCCAGAACTCGGATTGATGTTCTTTTGGACACTTTTAGAAGAAAGCAACCCTTCACTCACTTCCTCGCCTTCTTCCTCAATGAAGCGGAGGTTCAGGAAGGATTTCTGAAGTTTCAGGAGGCAGTTCTGGAGAAGTGCTCCAAGGTAAGCAGCAAGAAAATAAAACACAGCTTGAAGAAGCCAAATGTGTGGAAAAAAAAAAAAGAGGGCCCGGCGCAGTGGCGCAGTGGTTGGGGTCCTCGCCTTGCATGCCTGGGATCCCATGTGGGCTCCGGTTCTAATCCCGGCGGCCCCTCTTCCCATCCAGCTCCCCGCTTGTGGCCTGGGAAAGCAGTCCAGGACAGCCCAAAGCCTTGGGACCCTGCACCCGCATGGGAGACCCCTAAGAGGTTCCTGGTTCCTGACTTTGGATCGGCAAAGCCCTGGCCGCTGCGGTCACTTGGGGAGTAAATCATCGGATGGAAGATCTTCCTCTCTGTCTCTCCTCTCTGTACATCCGCCTTTCCAATAAAAATAAAAATTAAAAAAAAAAAAAAGAAAAAAAAAGAAAGAAAAAAGACCAAAAATCTTTTTTTAAAAGATTTATTTATTTTTTATTACAAAGTCAGACATACAGAAAAGAGGAGAGGCAGAGAGGAAGATTCTTCATCCGATGATTTACTCCCCAAGTGACCGCAGCGGCCAGTGCTTTGCCGATCCAAAGTCAGGAACCAGGAACCTCTTAGGGGTCTCCCATGCGGGTGCAGGGTCCCAAGGCTTTGGGGTGTCCTCAACTGCTTTCCCGTGCCACAAGCAAGGAGCTGGAAAGGAAGTGGAGCTGCCGGGATTAGAACTTGCTCCCATATGGGATACTGGCGCGTTCAAGGCAAGGACTTTAACTGCTAGGCCACGCCACCAGACCCAAAAATACAAAAATGTGCCACAACTTGACAGCAGCTACCTAAAATGATGACTCTTCCTGGTGATTTTTTATAATACCAAACAAAAAACTTTGGATACACTATGGATATATCAAATGTAGTTTATTGAAAAGAGCTGAGGAAATGGAGCCTCTTAAAAACAGGTTTTATTTATTTGTTAGTTTATTTACTTATGGGATCTAAGTGTAGCTTTTTGAAAAGAGCAAAGAAAATAGTGGGAAATGCTATTGTGTCATGTTTTCTAATATGTGTGTATATGTGTGCGTGTGTGTATGTTAGGAAAGTGTCACAGAACTGGAGCTGGTCTAAAATCAGGTACCAGGAACAACTTTGACCAAGCACTTGGTCTGTTGTGCTCTCCCAGGCACGTTAGTAGGGAGCTGGCTCAGAAGTTGAGCAGTTGGGAATCAGGTTGACCCCCATACAGGATCCGGTGCCACAGGTGGAGACCTGATCTACTATACTGTGGCTCCGGCCCCATCAGTCTTCTAAAAAAAAGTCCCTATGGTCATCTTTTCCTCACACTAACCTCTGGCGGACACAGTTCTGCACTTCACTATAGTTTAATCTTTTGCGAATGTCATATGTCAGGCGTGTATGATGTCTTGATACTCATATCAAGTGGTCATATTTTTAAAGAAAAATTTATTTATTTTTATTGGAAAGGCAGATTTATAGTGAAGCTGGTTCACTCCCCGGGTGACTGCAATGGCTGGAACTGAGCCAGTCTGAAACCAGGAGCCAGGAGCTCTTCCAGGTCTCCCATGCAGGTGCAGGATCCCAAGGCTTTGGGCCGTCGTCAACTGCTTTCCCAGGCCACAAGCAGGGGGCTGGATGGGAAGAGGGGCCGCCGGGATTAGAACCAGTACCTGGATATGATCCTGGTGTGTGCAAGGCAAGGACTTTAACCAGTAGGCTACCATGCCAGGCTCCCAGTGGTCATATTTTTTTAACCACTACTGAATGGTATTCTACTTACAGGTGGGTTCATTTGGTTTTCCATTTACCCACTGGAGGATATTTGGGTTTTTCTGGTTTTTGGCATCCCCTGGCAGAACTGCTGGAAGCATTGGTTCTGTGTGAACCAAAGTTACCATTTCTTTATTGCGCCAGTGGGTGAACAGAGGGCCTGTGACATTCTGCATCCTTACCAGCAATGTGGGAAAATTCACTTCCTCCATGTTTCTGCCAGCCTTTGATGGTGTCATTGTGTTTAATGTAGTGACATCTCACCATGGATTTAATTTGTGTTTCTCTAATGGCCAATGGAGTTGAGTTTTTTTTTAAAACATTTTTCTGATTTTTTTTTCCTTCCCATCATCCCTACATCTCTGTTGAGGTCTCCATGTCTTGTTTTGTCTTCTTACTGTGAGTTTTTAGTGTTCTTTATGTATGTTGTGGATTTAACTCAAGGGTATGCAGTTTACAAATATATAACCCTTTTGAAGTGACTGACTTTACATTTTTTAAAGATTGACTTATTTATTTGAAAGGCAGAGTTAGGGAGAAAGAGATGGAGAGTCAAACAAGGAGAGATTTTCCATCTGCTGGTTCACTCTCCAGATGGCCAAACTGAAGCCAGGTGTCAGGAGCTTCTTCTGGAGCTCCCATGTGAATGCAGGGACCCAGGAACTTGGGCGATCCTCCACTGCTTTTCTAGGCATATCAGTAAGGAGCTGGATTGGAAGTGGAGCAGTTGGGATTTGAACCAGCACTGCAGACAGTAGCTGTATATGCTACAACACAACACCGAACCTGACATTTATGTCTTTAAACATAAATGTCTGTGAGTCATATATTCATGTGTGTAAATGTTATTAGTGAACCATCACAATGTCATTTTCTCTCCTTCATATTTCATAGGAAGATGATTTAATTCTCAGTGGAAATAGAAGATGGTGCAGATCAGGGAATTTCAATAATGGCTAATAATTTTTTGGTGAGCTGGGGCTGTTAGGTTTTGAAGTCATTGCACCTTATGAATAACAACTAATTCAAACTTAGCCATTGTGTGTTCTTTAGAATGATACAGTTACCTAGTGTGAGATAAGCAGAGTATAACAAATGTGCCTTTTTATTCTGTGTGTGGCTGGGTGTGTGCAGGTGTGGGTGTGCTTTTGCACGTGTGCTTCCTCTCTTTCATGTCGCTTGCGGGCATGGGCTGACAAAGAGTGAATATTGAAATGATTACTTGAATTCAGCAGAATGAGGTTGTCTGCTGTGAACATCATGCTGGCCTTAATCAGCCTGAAGTGCCTCCTTTCTGCTTTCCGGGGACCGCACACTGACACAACCCTCTTTCCTGCTTTTAAATCAAGTCTTGGTAACAGCAGGTAATAAGTAAAGGACCATTATCTGAATTGTGTGGAAGAGATTTTTAGTGAGTTTCCTTCTGATGTTAGAATGACAGGCAGGTGGCTATAAAGGCCTGTAGGTATTTTCCAGTTGCACTCTGCATTTATGGCTCCAATTTAGGTGAGTTCCCTTCTGGAAGCTTTGAAGAACATAATCTGTGCAGGAAGATGACAGTTTATCATTCAGGCTTGTTTTGGTTCCTCAAATTCATCTGACCTCTCTAATAGAGTTTCCATATTCTAAAAGAAATTGTCTCAACTCAACATTTCCTTATAAGAAAAAAGTAGCATTACATGGGTATTTGTTACAATATTAAAATTATGTTATACACATGGCTTTGTAATACGCTTTTTACTTAATATGCTTATGGTTAATACAGCTTTTTTTCTTTTTTTGAAGATATATAAAAGGCAGAATTGCAGATAGGGAGGGAAGGGAAAGAGAGAGCGAAAAAGAGATAGAGATCTTCAATTCAGTGGTTTACTCCCGAAATGGCTGCAATGGCCTGGGACTGGGCCAGGCCGAAGCCGGAGCCTGGAACCCATTTTGGGTCTCCCACATGGGTGGCAGGGGCCCAAGCAGTTAGGCCATCTCCCACAACCTTCCTATGCAGAAATAAACAGGGAGCTGGCGGGGAAGTGGATCAGCTGGAACTTGAACCAGTACCCAGGTAGGATTGCAAGTGGCTCAACCCAGTGTGCCAAAATGCTGGTCCCGTAATTATTACTTTTGATATGAAATGTATCTAATGGGTATACCCTGATTTATTGTTAATCAATCTGAATACTGAATGGAATTGTTTCTGCTCATCTGTATATGCATCTTTATGTCTTTTTCAGTTTCTTTGGAGTAAATTCTAAGAATGGGTTACGGGAATCAAAACTTTAACTTTTTTTATGATTTTACTGACTTATTTACATAGGGTGTAATGCACCTATTTTTTTAAAGATATATTTTTTTATTAAAGATTTATTTATTTTTATTACAAAGTCAGATATACAAGAGAGGAAGAGAGATGGAGAGGAAGATCTTCCGTCCAATGATTCACTCCCCAAGTGAGCACAACGGCCGGTGCTGTGCTGATCCGAAGCCAGGATCCAGGAACTTCTTCTGGGTCTCCCACACGGGTGCAGGGTCCCAAGGCCTTGGGCCATCCTCGACTGCTTTCCCAGACCACAACCAGGGAGCTGGATGGGAAGTGGAGCTGCTGGGAATTAGTACCAGCACCCATATGGGATTCTGGCACGTTCAAGGCAAGGACTTTAGCTGCTGGGCCACGCCGCTGCGCCTAAGATTTATTTATTTTTATTGGAAAGGCAAAGCCACAGAGAGGAGTTACAGAGAGAAAGATATCCCCTCCACTTAGGGTTTATTCCCTAAGGGGTTGCAATGACCAGAGCTAAGCTGATCCAAAACCAGGATCCAGGAACTTCTGGGTTTCCCATTTGGGTGCAGGGTCCCAAGGCTTTGGGCCAACCTCTACTACTTCCCAGGGCATAAGCAGGGTGCTAGATGGGCAGTGGAGCAGCCAGGACATGAACTGATACCTATATGGGATCCTGGAATGTGCAAGGCGAGGATTTAGGCACTGGGCCACAGCGCGTCCTGTAATGCACCTATTTTGAGAGCCCTGGCTGTTGCAGACATTTGAGAGTGAATCAACAGATGAAAGTACTCCGTCTCTCTTTTTCTTTTTTTCTCTCCCTAAATTTCAAATAAATCACTAAAAATGAAAAGAAAATACCATATACATCACATATGATCTAAAAAGGACTTTTGTTCACTTTATGTCTTCCCTCGGTGCTGGTTCAGGACTTCAAAGATTAGATTCTTCATCTTTAAAAAATACTTGATAGCAAAGTACATTAA